CAGTTGATGAATTTCGGCAAAGAGATGATTGGGCAAAATGGAAAGACGCAATTCAGTCTGAATTGGACTAATTGAAAAAACGGCAAGTATTCGGCCTTATAGTCCAAACACCTGAAAATGTGAAACCTGTTGGTTACAGATGGGTGTTTGTGAGAAAAAGAAATAAAAATAATGATATCACAAGATATAAAGCAAGGCTTGTAGCCCAAGGTTTTTCCCAGAGACTGGGTATTGATTTTGAAGAAACATCGTTGCCGGTCATGGATGGAATAACTTTCAGGTATCTGGTGAGCCTGGCAGTACACAATAATTTTGATATGCGATTAATGGATGTGGTTACTGCCTATCTTTATGGCTCCTTAGACAATGATGTCTACATGAAAATCCCAGAAGGGATTAACATACCTGAATCATTCAAATCAAAGCCAAAAGAATCATATTCCATCAAATTACAAAAATCTTTGTATGGGCTAAAGCAATCAGGCCGAATGTAGTACAATCGTCTTAGCGAAAGCTTAACAAAATAAGGTTATATAAATGACCCTATCTGTCCATGTGTTTTCATAAAGAAAAATGGGCCAGGATTCTTAATCATCATTGTATATGTCGATGATCTCAATTTAATTGGAACTCCTGATTGAATCCAAAAAGCTGTTGAATATCTTAAAAAGGAGTTTGAGATCAAAGATTTTGGAAAAACTAAATTTTTTCTTGATCTGCAAATTGAGCACTTGGAAAGTGGAATCTTCATCAACCAATCAAATTATACCAAAAGGGTATTGAAACAATTTATGATGGAAAAGTCACATCTGCTAAGTACTGTAATGATCGTTAGTGCACTCGATCCAATAAAGGATCCATTTAGACCAAAAGAGGAAAACGAAGAAACACTTGGCCCAAAAGTGCCATATATGAGTGCTATAGGCGCATTTATGTATCTTGCTAACAGCACTGACCTGACACATCATTTCTGTAAATTTATTGGCAAGATTCAGTTCATCGCCTACTGACGACATTAGAATGTAATTAAATACATTTTTCGCTATCTCCAAGGAACAATTGATCTCGGGTTATTTTACCCAAAAGATTCTCGACATGAATTGATTAGTTTTGCCGATGCAAGATATTTATCCGATCCTCATAAAGCCAAGTCTCAAACTGACTATATATTCACTTATAGCAAAACAGTGATCTCTTGAAGATCGATGAAACAAACTTTAACTGCCACTTCTTCAAATCATACTGAAATATTGGCAATACATAAAGCTAGTCGAGAATGTGTTTAGTTGAGGTCAATGACTCAACATATAATAGAAAAATTTTGGGTTAATACCTGACAAAAAAATTCCCCAACTACATTGTATGAATTTAATACGGCTTGTATAGCCCAATTGAAAGGAGGTTACATTAAAGGAGATAAAATGAAACATATTTTATCAAAATTCTTCTTTACTCATGATCTACAACAAAATGGTGAAATCAATGTGCAACAAATTCGATCATATAATAATTTGGCGGATATATTAACCAAGGCGTTACCGACTGCAATATTTAAAAAATTAGTAAAGAAAATTGGGATGCGTCAGTTAAGGGATCTCAAATAATGCTTAGATCAGGGGGAGCGAATTGATACAAGAATGTTGTACTCTTTTTCCTTCACTATGATTTTTTTGTCCCACAGGGTTTTTTCCTAATAAGGTTTTAACGAGGCACATTCTTTGTATAAAAGCATCCAATGGGGAGTGTTGTATACATAGCACACACGAAGGTGCTACGTAGTGAATATGTACGATTTTCATTCATTCGCATCAAGGTTTTTGCATGTATAAATATAGGTTGAATGAAATGAAATTCACACCCCTCGTTCTCTCCATTTCCCTCTCGTCAACCTTCAACAATATCATACATACATAAAATTTATATATACATGCATACATACATACATTAACTAATATATTATATTTACATACTACATACACACAACACATATATATTAATTACTACTCACACGTATATTATATATCATATATTATAATATTATATATAGTATATTATACAATATATAAAATAGTGGTTAGCGGTAGAAGTAATTAGCATTTCTATTGGCTAATCCTATAATAATATTACAACACATCCTTCATTTCCACTTGTCATGATATTTTAAAATTTAAGTACTTAAACAATCATTATTGCGATAAGTTTTTTTTTTTTAATAAAAAAAAAAATTGATATTTGATTGGTAATTATACTCTTTTCTTACTATTTCAATATGTGTTTTGTGATCACAAAATAGAAAATTTGAAAAAAAAGTTATGTAAATATTTTTAATTGATTTACATGGAAAATGTTTTGAATGGTTTACAAAGTAAATTGTTAGATTACAAAGTTAAATAATTCGAAAGAAAAAATAAAAATTCTAAGAAAATAAACCTAATAATTTATCTGGATCCTTTCTAATTGAAAATTAAGAACAAATCACAAAAAAGAACAAGTTAGAAAATATAATTAATATCATCCAATAAATTGGACAATCAAATCATCGGGGCTATAAGATATTACGTCACAAACAACTACAAGAAAAATTAACATCATCACTTGAGAGATAAGTCCATGTCCCAATCATCAATCTTTGGGAAGCCCGCGATACCATTTTATGGCGCAACAGAGATAAACTTAGCACCCAGTTGGCCAAGCCCATGGCTCAAAGGGCCAAAAAACTTATATTTTTACACATTTTGGTCCATTTAATCGCACAAAGGTTACCCTTTAAAAATTCATAATCTCCAAGTTTGTCATCATACATTTGAAACACATTGTTAACAAATAAAATACTTAACATTGTAAACAAATACCTGAAGCAATGGCAAATTTACTACTAATCAGTTCACAGAGTTTGGCATAATAAAAAAATCAAATAAATTAAACATATTTAAAGAACACGATAATATAGAAAATACTATAATATTGGTTCTTATATTGAAATATTGAACACATAGTTCCACACAAAGAAAGTTATGCTCAAATTCAACATATACATCATGCTCGACCTTAGAGTGGATAGGTAAGATAACTGACTTCATCCAAAAGTCATTTTTTTAAAAAAAATATAACGGTTTAGTCTTCAAATATTACCTAGAAATTCTGAAAAACTATATGTGCTGCTACATTACATCTTATGATGGAACACCTCCTAGCACCATCACACCCAAACCCTAACCCTTTCGAGCAGAAGAGGCTCAATGGCGAGGTTGAGGCCGAGGGTGGTGAACGTGAATATGCTTGCAATCATTGTGGAAAGAAGTTCAGGAACATGCAGGCCTAGGGGGCTTCGAAAAGCCCATATTGGCTACTTTCTGGGACCGGGTTGACATACGGCGCCGGGATGAGGCCACTCCTTGGGATTTACAACATGCCCCACCTGGCATAACAGATTCCTTCACTATACTTCGGAATCTATCTCATGTTTAATCCTTGCCCAGAAATGCAGCCGATTCCCAGCATGGCCCAACCATTCATTCCCCAGGTGATGTTGCCGCCTCCACCAACATCACCGCTGGGATTCAATAATCACTTTCGTAGGTCAGGCACCATGGCCGGATGTACTGTTCTTTTTTTGGGACCGGAATCTTCTTTTGCTAGTCAAAATCAAGGTTTGTTGAACAATCAAACTTTTGGTTGTGGACCTAGTGGCAACAACAAGTTGGCTCGTCAGAGGGATGAGTTTTTCTGAAGCTGCACCAGGAAATGATGTTGTTGATCATCCAGAGAGTAACGATTCTAAGTTGGACCTAAATCTCAAGTTATAAAATAAATAGTCTGATTGTTGTTTGAGTCATTCTAATTGTCTCTACTGATGTCCTGACTTAGATTGACTTGTGTTTGATAATTGAGTAATATTATAGGTATTATCTATCTTGTGTGCTACTTTTGATTTGTTCTATGTTTTGAATTTGAAATAATTTGTATTAATTGTTGGATTTTTTTTTCTACTTTTCCAATTTTATATAATCTAATAATTTGTTGATAAACATTACATTAAACATATCTTCTTTTTTTTTTTTTCGTAAAATTCAATTTAACAATATTAAAATATATTGTTGTTCTCTTTGTTCTTTAGTTTTCATTAATTTATTTTATTTTTTCGGTTGTTTGACTTTGTCACAAATTTAATCCATTAACATTACATTAAACATGTTTAAAAAAACTTGTATTTACTTGTGATTTAATACACTGAAAATAAACTTTACATATAATCTTTTAAATGTAAAATAAGATTTGTTTATCGATTTCAAAAATATACATATATAATTTTAAAAAAAACTAAAAAGAATTTAGATATTCAATAAACTATTATTAAATAAATAAAATAATATAGATAATGATGTATTAATATCGGCTAAAAATGTATTTAATATATTAGGTCATTGTAGTCCGATTTTTAATTATATTATACCAGAAAAATAATTACCCCACTGTTCCAACAAATTATTTATTCTCAATGATTCAAAAAGTAATGTAGGTAATTAATAAGAGATAACGATGATATCTACTATAAAGGTATCGTAGTTAATTTCTCAACATTTTTTTTTTAAAAAAAACATTAGGAAGATTAGGTGATGATTAGTCTTCAATTTCAATTGATTTAAATATTTAAAAATTGTTATATATATTTTAAAACATTACAAAAATTGTACTTTACATATATATATAATAATAATAATAATAATAAAGAAAATTTAGCTTGGTTATAGTTAATATCAATTATATAATTATGAAAATGTAATCCTTATCTTTTATCTTTTTTATTAATTTGATAGGTGAGAGTGGACGGGTAAGAGATGTAATTTATTCATAGTCTTTATTGACTTTCCATTTTTCGATTTACAACCTATTATAAATATTACTTTCCAAAATCTTTTTTCTACAAATACAAAAGTTTAAACCTTTTCTAATATCCCTCTGCAAAAATTGTTTTAAAAATTGTCCCCGCTACCCTACTCATGGAGCACCCACCACCATCATCCCCCCAAAACCCTAATGAAAACCCTAATCCTCCCGAGCCAGAGAGGGTTGACGGTGATGCAGAGGGTGCCGAACGAGAATATAGTTGCAGTTATTGTGATATGAAATTTAGAAGCAAGCAGGCATTGGGAGGGCACCAAAATGACCACAAGATGGAGAAAGCTATCCAAAAAAATGCCCACAACCTTCAGTCCCCTTTTGGCTATTTTGCCGGGGTAGGGCTACCATACACTCCCACAATGGGGCCTGTCTTGCCAATTGTTGGAGCTTATCAGAGACCCTTCCAGGCGCCACAGATACCTTTGCAACACCCTGGAATCCAATTGGGGTTCAATCCTCGTCAGGCAATGCAACCGATCCCCCGAGTGGCCGTACCATCTCCTCGTATAGTTGTGCTACCTCCGCCGGCACGCCCACAACCAGGACTCAATAATCCCTTTCGTGGGACAGCCCCTGTGCGGAGGAATGCTGTCCCTTTTATGGGGTCGGATTCTTCTTCGGCTACTGGAAATCAGGGTTTTGAGAACCTTCAGTCTTTTGGTAGTAGAGTTCATCAGGGCGGTGGGTTTTCCCCGAAAGCACCAAGGAATGATGCCGATGATCACCCGGATATTGATGACTCTGGCCTTGACTTATCTCTGAAATTGTGAATTGAGTCTGATAGTTTTTTTTTTCTTTTTTTTTTTTGGTAATAGCTAGGGAAAATTGCAAAAAATATCCCACATGTATACCTCATTATCACTTTTGTCCTGTATTTATCTCGCTGGCAAAATATATCCCACATGTTTGCAAAAGTCGCTATTTATATCCTTTCGTCGCGCATGGCTATGCGTGATCGCGTGTCACTGCGCGTGGTGTGAACGTCACGTGCGGCTAAATGATATAAATAGCGACTTTTGCATACATATAAGATATATTTTACCAATGAGATAAATAAAAAAGAAAAGTGATAATAGGGTATACATGGGGAATATTTTTTGCGATTTTCTCATAATAGCTAATAGTTTTGATGATGTGATTGTTCCAATGATGTGTTTGAAATATCCAATTATATCATTTGTATTTTCAATGAAAAATGATTCATATGAATTGTTGGATTTAGTCCTTTTTTTTTCCTTTTTATTATTAGTATTTTTTAGTTCTTTAACTTTACATTGCTTTATAGTTTTTTTTTTGTTTTTTGTTTTATATTCTCATAATTTCACTTCATTAACAAAACATTTAACACATTATTTCCATAAAAACTAATAAAACAATTCGAATAAAATTTTGAGTTTTCTTTTTTCATTTCTTCTTTCAAATTTTGTTTGTTATTTTTCGTGACAATATTTGTGACGAAATATTCAAAAGACACGAAATAGAAACATATTGGACATTTTCGTTACATAAGCCGCTAGTTTAAATAGTCACAAAAAATTATTTGTAAATTTTTCTGCAAAGATAACTCACGGAATACTCAAAGCAAGAAGTTGTGACATAAATTTGTCACAAAATTGCTCTTCATGATTTTTAACTGTCAGTGAATTAAAATCTGCTATGAAATAGAAGCATATATAATCTTGAGAAACACATAAGTAAATAATACTCATTGTCTTATAGAAGAGGAAATTACAATAGATATATCTTACAGGAATTTTCGTCTCACTCACACCGACACGGCTAGAGGACAAAAATCACAAAAAAGTGACGCATGATCATGGAAATTTTTATACAATACACTACAAGAATTCTCTCGTGATTACTTTCTTAGAATAATTTTTCTTTTATTTTTGCTTTTCATCCAAAAATAGATGTTTCTACCAAAGAATGAATTGGAATGGATGATGTATCAATCTTGCTTTGATGGAAGAAGTTTGTTGAGTGATAGGCTTTTGACGAAAACAAAGTGTTAGGCATAAGATCTTACTTCGCAACTACTCACTACCTATTTAATCGGGAGGAATGTCTATATTGGAAGTGATCATCCCAAGATGATCAAAATAGATTAAATAAAAGTTTTGACAGTTCCGATTGTCTGCAATTTGATAGGACTAAACCAATCCAACCTTGCAAGAATCAATTAGGAGGAATAATATCGAATAAAGATAAAAATTCAACAATGCAAGAGACACGACAATTTTAATGTGGAAAACCCTTCAAATCGAAGGAAAAAATCACGTGTCGTCCAGACCAATGAAAACGGCTCCACTATAATCAAATCCAGGTAGTGTTCCAAGCAGCACCAAATAGTGCACCAACAATCCCAAATCAATCAAATGAAACAACAACATAAAATAACTAGAAACGACCAAATTATTCACCAAAAATAACTGCTACCGTCTGCCTCAAATAACTCGAGCTACAGACCTCCAAACACCAGTCCAACCGGTAAACCCCAAGAACATAGTGTTAAAAACCTTGTGTCCAAATTTCACTCCGATCCAAAGGTCGACGAAGCGGGACTCGTCAATTCTCTGAAGCTGCACAGTGTGTTGCGGGAATGTGGCGGCTCGTCGGTATTTTGTGTTCTAAATTGATCTAGTGCTTGTTGTGATGTGCCGCACTCCTTGCTCTAATATGACTTACAAGTGAACTTAAAAATTGGGCTAAAAAAATAGTCCACATAGGAGTGAACCGGTGCAATAAATCTCTCCCTCACGACTATGTGAAGATAATCGTTAAACCGACGATTTGGAAACAAACATCAAACTTCCACCTGGGCAATGGATTCGTCATCATATCAGCACCACTTTCATCAGTATGAATTTTAGCCAATTCCAATGCCGTAGCATCCAAGACATCGCGTATCCAATGATACCTCACATCAATATGCTTGGACCTAGAATGAAATGTAGGATTCTTACTAAGATGAATGGCACTTTGACTATCACAAAACAGAACGTGCTTGTCTTGAATGAAACCAAGTTCATGCAAGAATTTCCTTACCCAAACCAACTCCTTACTTGCTTCTATGATGGCAATGAACTCCGCCTCAGTAGTCGATAGTGCAACACACTTCTGCAATTTAGATTGTCATGCCACAACTCCCCCCGCAAACTTTAACCAAATAGCCTGAAGTGGACTTTCTGGAATCAGTTTCTCCAGCCATGTCTGAATCTGTATATTCCACAAGAATAGACTTATCTTCTCCAAAACAAAGTTTCAAACTACTTGTACCACAAAGATATCTGAATATCGGTTTCACTACATTCGAATGTTCTCTGCCGGGATTAGATAGAAATATGTTGACTGTACCAACGGCATGTGCTAGATCTGGTCTTGTGCACACCATTGCATACATCAACTTCCCACATCATAAGGAACTCGCACCATATCAGATTTCTCATTTTTATTTGAGGGACTTTGTTCAACACTTAGCTTGATATGAGAAGGAAGAGGAGTACTCACAACATTAGCATCTTCCATTTGAAATCTCTGCAACACCTTCTTGATGTAGTGTTCTTGTTACAACCAAAGATTCCTCTCTTTTCTATCACAAGTGATTCTTATACCACGAATCTGTTTAGTAGCTCCCATGTCCTTCATAGCAAATGACTCCCCCAATTGCTTCTTCAACCTGTCAATTTTGGAAACATCTTTTCCAATAATAAGCATGTCATCGACATACAACAATAGAATAATGAAGTCATCATTAGAGAATTTTTGAACAAAGACACAATGGTCAGAAGCAATCTTCTTGCAGTCGTGTTCGCACATTACAGACTCAAACTTCTTATACCACTATCTTAGAGCTTGCTTCAAACCATATAGGCTCTTTCTCAGCCTACAGACAAAGTCTTCCTTGCCTTTAACAAGAAAACATCTGGATGCTTCATATATATCTCTTCTTTAAGATCCCCGTGCAGAAAGGCAGTTTTAACATCCATCTGCTCAACCTCCAAATCAAGAGTAGCAGCGAGACTCAATACTATTTTGATAGATGACATTTTCACTACCGGGGAGAATATGTCATTGAAATCAATGCCTTTCCTCTGTCTGAAGCGTTTGACCACTAGCCTGGCTTTGTATCATAGCGATGAAGAATGACTCTCATGCTTTTTCCTAAAGATCCATCCGTCTTCCAAGGCCTTCTTTCCATCGGGTAGTTTCACCAAGTCAAAAGTGTGATTATCATGCAAAGATTTCATTTCATCGTTCATCGCATCCAACCACTTTTGCTTTTCTTCACTTTCAACTACTTCTGAATAGCCCTCAGGTTCATCTGCATCATTTAAAGTAATATATTCATTAGATGGATACCTTCTAGATGGTAGTTTCTGTCGGAAAGACCTTCTAAGTGGAGCCTGAGACGACTCGGGATGATCGAATTCAAGATTTTTATTTTGTGACATCGCATCTTCTTCTTCAGCATGATCAGAAACATTCAAATCAACCTCAGTGTGTTCATCATTATGACCCATGTTATGTGCCATATTGGTCGTGACTAGATAATTGTACAGAATCAGGGTCAATCATAATTGTATCTTTCTCGGGTGCAACCTTTTTCTTGTTGTCAATATTTTCAATAGTTTGGTCTTCCATGAACTCCACATCACGACTTCTGAAAAGCTTTTTCCGAACAGGATCATAAAACCTATAACCAAATTCGTCTTGCCCATAACTGATGAAGATACACTGCCTAGTCTTCGCTTTCAACTTGGAACTCTCATCCTTTGGAACATGCACAAATGCCTTGCAACCGAAGACTCACAGATGATCATACTTGACAGATTTACCAAACCAAATTTTATCTGCCACATCAGTATTTAAAGCAACCGCTGGACTAAGATTAATAAAATGCACAACCGTGTGCAATGTCTCACCCCAAAAATGATCAGACAATTTTGCTTCAGAAAGAAATCATCGAACTCTTTCAATAAATGTTCTATTCATCCTCTCAGCTAAACCATTCAGTTGAGGAGTCTTTGGGGGTTTCTTTTCATGTCTGATACCCTGCTGCTTACAATTAACATCGAATGGCCCATAATACTCGCCACCGTTTTCTGTATGTACACATTTCAACTTCTTGCCAGATTGCTGTTCAGCTAGGTTCTGAAATTCTTTAAACTTCTCAAGTGTCTGGTCTTTAGTCTTCAAAGTATAGACCCAAAGCTTTCAGGAACAATCATCAATGAAAGTTAGAAAATAAAGTGCACCACCAAAAGATTTTACCTTTAATGGGCCGCAAATATCAGAATGCGCCAATTCCAACAGCTCTGGCTTCCTTGATGGAGAATGCTTCTTGAATGATACCCTGGTTTGTTTACCAGCGATACAGTGAGAACACTTCTCTAACTCTGCATTCTTCAACCCCGGAAGCTTCCTATCTCATTAAACACCTTAGCCCTTTTTCACAGATATGACTAACTCTCCGATGCCACAAATTTGAAGCATCCATATCTATGGCATGTACCATATCTCCAGCAAGCAAAGCTTTTGTCCAATACAGTTAGGACACTTTATCTCTTTTAGCGACAACCAGATTTCCTTTAACATGCTTCCATTTTCCATCACAGAAATGGTTGTCATAACCCGCATCATCAAGCATAAGAACTGATATTAAATTGAAACGGACATCGGGAGCATGTCAAACACCTTTGAGTAACAATTTCATGCCCATATTAGTCGTCAAGCATACATCGCCAATGCCTACTACCTTTGAAGCACCATC